CACAGGCCAGCCTGCATGGACCCTGAGGAGCCATGGGCTCTCCTGTTGGAGGAGCTCCAGTAGGCCGTGGACAGTGTGTGTGCATGGGAGAGCCATCAGTGCACCGTGGCCGCCAGTATCCCATGTGTGTGCTTCCCTGTGTGTGCAGCAGGGGTTGCCGGGTAAGTGTGGGCAGAGTTGGGGTGATAGTCCACTGGGGCACCTGGGTCAGGGGTGGGAGCTCCAGGAGGTACCTTGATGAACTCGTGGCTGTGCTGTTCCACGGGCTCCAGTTTCCACGAGAGATAGCCTGGGTGCGGAGAGACGGGCACCGGTGACCCAGGAGACGTGGGGCTGAGGCAGGAGGGAGCAAGGGCGGCTGGAGCTCAGCGGGAGGGCTAGGCGCCAAGCTGCTCTGGTCTGGGTCTGCGCCTGTGGCGGCCCCTCCGTCCCCACCCCCCACCCCGTCCTGGGGATGGAGTGCGGAGAGCAGAGGCGGCTCCTGCAGGCGGCGGCAGTCTACCCAGGAGGGAGTTTCCGCAGAGCATCTTGTCCAGGAAGCCGTGGCTGGAGGCGTGCACCAGGATGCAGTTGGACAGGATCCCCTGCTGGTCTTTGTACCTCCCTCTCTGCACCTCAATGGTCAGCTCTCCCTGCGGCTCCCCCGTGTCCGAGACCATGGCCAGAGTCTCCGAGAAGAGCAGCAGCTGCAGCTCCTCCAGCCCTGGGGGCGAGGGGCAGGGTGGGGGGAGATCATGCCCCTGCTCTTGGGCCTCGATCCTGGGACCCCCTCCCTTCCAGTAACCCCCTCCCCCAGGTCCCTGGGGTTTTCCCTTGAAGATGTCCACAAAGAAGCCTCAACTTGTTCTGAGTCCCAGGAGAAAAAAAGCTGAGCACGATGGGACTGGCCTGGGCTTTCTTTCTCCCCCACCCAAGGGTGCCCCCTGCCCCGTGCCCACCGAGAGAGTTGAGGAAGTTGATGGCCTCGGCATTGGCCTGTGGCAGGGGCGGCCCCTCCTGGCCGGCAAGCCTGTACTCCTTGGTTCTGACGCCTGCAGAGGGAGGAGAGGCTGAGATGGAAACCCCTGGGAGGCGCAGAGCCAGGTGCGGCATGGGCACCCTAGTCCTGGCCCCTGGCCCCAGGAGGATTCTGCTCCTCTAGGACGACCCCCAGGTGGACTGTGACGGAGAGGAGCCCCTGTTTCCAGCCCCAGCAGCCCCCTTACCACCTGTGAGGAGAGCTTTGGAGGACATGCTGTCAGCAGCGACCCAGTCTGTGGTCGGCAGTCTCCATGGCAACCGGGAGCCAGCTACCGCCTCTTAAAGGGGCATCAACCCGCTTCCCTACACCCAGGGCTGGGAGGAAGTTGACAGTGCAGGTCCTGAAACTCAATTTGAGCCTGAGATGTTGTCCAGCAGAGGGAGCGCTTGCCTGCCTTGTGAGAGGCAGGCCCCCTTTTTTTATTTTTTATTTTTTATTTTTTATTTTTTGACAGGCAGAGTGGACAGTGAGAGAGAGAGACAGAGAGAAAGGTCTTCCTTTTGCCGTTGGTTCACCCTCCAATGGCCTCCGCGGCTGGCGTGCTGAGGCCGGCACACCACGCTGATCTGAGGGCAGGAGCCAGGTACTTATCCTGGTCTCCCATGGGGTGCAGGGCCCAAGTACTTGGTCATCCTCCACTGCACTCCCTGGCCACAGCAGAGAGCTGGCCTGGAAGAGGGGCAACCGGGACAGAATCCGGCGCCCCGACCGGGACTAGAACCCGGGCTGCCAGCTCCGCTAGGCAGAGGATTAGCCTAGTGAGCCGCGGCGCCGGCCCCAGAATGGATCCTTAGAGTGAGGGAGTCCCACTGTCACCACCATGGTGGGAATGTGATGTGCCCTCAGTAGAAACTGGACTTCGAATTTGGATCTTTTCCTGGGCTGATTACACGTAGTACCGTCCTCTTTCCCGACGCTGGGCGAGTGGACAGCGTCCCTGGTGTTGCTGAGCTGTGATGGTTGGCTGGCTGGGTGTATTTGATGCATTTTCGGCTTCCAATGTTTTTCACTGGTGATGGGTTTGCCTGAGGACACGAACCTATGATAAGTTAAGGTGCGCTGTACGTGTAACAATAATGGTGACAACAGGCCGGCGCCGCAGCTCACTTGGCTAATCCTTCGCCTGCGGCGCCGGCACCCCGGGTTCTAGTCCCCGTTGGGGAGCCAGATTCTGGTCCTGGATTGCTCCTCCTCCCCAGTGCCAGCTCTCTT